TAGTGTGTTAAATGTTGAGATACTTGTATGTATATGGCTCTTTACTTTTTTCTTTACAAACCTTTGGTATTGCAGGATGTTGGTGCTACCTTGGTTATCTGCCAGTGGGGTTTTGATGATGAGGCAAATCACTTACTGATGCATAGAAACTTGCCTGCTGTTCGATGGGTTGGTGGTGTTGAGTTAGAGCTGATAGCCATAGCCACTGGTGCATATAATTATTGCAATTTTATTGTTAAAGATTTGTCCTTTTTTAATACTTCTAATACATTTTAATTTTGATTTGTAATTGCCCATGTATCTCTACTTTGGTGTTTAGGTGGGAGGATTGTGCCAAGGTTTCAAGAGTTGACCCCAGAAAAACTAGGCAGAGTAATGTTTCCACACTGTCAATAACAGCCTCCTGTTTATTTTTACAATTTACGTATATTATTCAGTTTGCTTTTGCTAGCTACGGTTATAAGATCATAATAAGTTTTATGGTTGATGATTGCTTATGGACCCCAGGCTGGTTTGGTTCGAGAAAAAGCATTTGGTACTACTAAAGATCGAATGATATACATTGAGCATTGTGCAAATTCAAGGGCTGTGACCATATTTATACGTGGTGGTAGGTTGATTTTGTATTATTTTTTCTCTGAGCTTGTTCTGGAAGTTCTTGTTTTGTGCTTTTGTGTTGAATTGTATCATAATAGGTTATTTGTGATGAAGACAGACCAGGTAGCTGGTAGAATTGTGATTTTCAAACTATTAGACTAACTCTGAAAAACTGAAAGAAAAATAAAGAGAGGAATGGGAAAGAATTATTCATTGTACATAGAAATTTGAAACAGATTATTGTTCTTGATGATGCATTAGGTAACAAGATGATGATAGAGGAAACAAAACGAAGTCTTCATGATGCTTTATGTGTTGCTCGGAATCTGATTCGCAACAACTCCATAGTATATGGTGGTGGATCATCTGAGATTTCTTGCTCAATTGCAGTGGAAGCGGCTGCTGATAAATACCCAGGAGTTGAGCAGGTAATAGGCTAATTTCATTCAGTACTCATATTATTTTCAACTTATATGCTAAAAGGTTAATTGTGTCTGCAGTATGCAATCAGGGCTTTTGCAGATGCTTTAGATGCAATTCCCATGGCACTGGCTGAGAATAGTGGTCTCCAACCCATTGAAACTCTTTCTGCCGTTAAATCTCAACAGATTAAGGTAATCTTGACATTTTGCCACTTCTCTGTGGTTGGAGGACCAAAACAAGTTACATCCTCTTTCATTTATTCTTTTAGAAAATTGCACCATTGGTCCCAGCATATTCCCAGTAGAAGTTGGTCCCAACCTTACTAAAGGGGCAAGTTGGTCTTCAATGTTGCACCATAAATCCCAATGTGACGGAAATTCAGAAACCATTCAAATCCTTGTAAAATGCAATGGTGCAATTATCCCTATTCCTTTGTCCCTTGTCTTATTGACAAGTGCGGTTTTCACTTTTCTCAAATGATTGTGAATTTTTATATGCAGGAAAACAACAACTGCTGTGGTATTGATTGCAATGATATTGGAACAAATGACATGCGCGAGCAAAATGTCTTTGAGACGTTGATTGGGAAACAACAGCAGATTCTTCTTGCAACTCAAGTTGTTAAAATGATTCTGAAGATTGATGATGTTATCTCATCATCTGATTATTAAATTATCCAGTATTTTATACAAAATTTTGCTTGTTCTTAAAAAATTGTCTACGCTACATGGTTTGCTTGAACATTGGGCAATTTTAGTATTTTACGTTCCTTTGGTGAATTCCTTTTAGAGTGGCTTTGTATTTGTAATGAATTGTTATCTTTGATGAACATGTTTAATCTTTAATTATGGTAGGAATATTGACCATTATGTTTTCTTTTGTGAACAAATTGTCTGTTTATGTACCATGCAACTTTTTCTAGGGAGGATTTATGCCCAAAAAGAAATATTGCAAGAGATAAGAAACGTAGTGGAGTTTCTAATATGAGGTCTATAATTCGCCAGCCACATTTTTTGGATGAGAAAACCATCCAATTTTCACAATCCCATTGGACCTCATTTTTCTCAATTTTGACCATTGTGGCAAGCACAAGATCTGAGCATTTGGCCAAACAAAACTTGACCGCCAATGGCAGCTACGTTGGCAACAATGGCTATGACCAATTCCAAGTGCTTCAACACCAATACAAAGGGTACTTCTAACCCTTCCAAGAAATCGATCTCCCTTTTTTCGATGCAAAACCTCCCAAGAGGACTCACCACCACCTCAAAGCCATTAGAAGTGTCGGGCCTGGCTGGTACCGCCCTCGCAGGAGTTATTTTCGCCACCCTCAGCTCCTCTGATGCTGCCTTTGCTGCCCAACAAATTGCTGATATAGCCGAAGGTGATAACCGGGGGCTCGCCCTTCTGCTGCCTATCGTTCCAGCCATAGCTTGGGTTCTTTACAACATTCTTCAACCTGCCCTTAACCAGATTAATAAAATGAGGAGTGTCAAAGGGGTGATCATGGGGCTCGGGCTAGGTGGACTTGCGGGCTCAAGTTTCATGCACCCGCCAGAGTCATCAGCCAGTGAAATTGCCATGATTGCTGATGCTGCCGCGAATGACAACAGAGGCCAGCTCTTGCTGTTTGTAGTCACCCCCGCCATTCTTTGGGTTCTTTACAACATCTTGCAACCAGCTTTGAACCAGATTAGCAGGATGAGATCAGATTGAGAAAGGTTATCAATCTCTTTATCGATTACAAAAACATATATTCTGTGCTTCTAATGTTAGTAGGATTTATCCTGGATAACTGTATATCAAAAGGTTATTATGAACTTGATTATGTATGTTGTCTGTTCTTAATATCCTTAATCTAGTTTGCATAAACCATAAAAATTTCAACTAGAATTGCTTTTGTTTAGCTAAAGACACTTTTGGTGAAAACTTAAATTTCATGAAGCATACCTCCAAAGAGTCAAAAATAGAAGTCTGTTGGTTGGTTGTTTGTTACAGCTTAAATCCTCTACAATAATCTGATCTTTAATGTGAAGAGTAAATGCAGCAACAATCTTATAGAACAGAGGAAAAACATAGAGAGAAGACAAGAGTGTCTGCACTGTCTTGAACTTCGTTTTCTCAATCTATCCCTACACGTGTCTATTTTTTACAGCCCTTTGTTTACACAGCATTAAAAGCACATTTACTATTAACACAGTCATTCGACAGCGTTCCTCCTACACATGGATTTGAGAAGCATGTTTGATAAATAATCGTGACTTTTAATTTAAGCAAATCCAACAATTAGTATCTCATGGATCTCAAGTGGTTATAATTAACTCTCTCATGATCCTAGTGAAATATATACTGATCGTCAAATTTGCTTAAATTAAAGGTCAAGATTATCTGTCAAAACTACTAGTCAAATCCATGTGTAAGAGGAATACTCCCCTAGTCATTCACAACCATGGATAAAGGATTCCTCGATAAGTAGAGGATTAATATTACTGTATAATGCCATTGTAGGCAAAGCAGTAATAGAACACGGGCTGAGTAGCACATCCATAAGAGAAGGACTCAATCCTTGGCTAGACATCTCAAGGATAAACCATATAATTAAAAAGATGAATAGCGTAATAACTTAGTAAGC